ACCAATGACGGCACGAGATAAGTTTGTGCACAGATGGAAGGCTGACAGGCAGGTAGGCCATCCAGTTACTTTAGCCGGGTCGGCTCAGATGATTGGTCGTGCTTTTTACAGCGCCACGGCTTCCACAGATGAGATATTTTAATGGATTTTTAGTCAAAGCACTTCAGACAACGAGCCGTTAAAGGCAGAGAGTGAAATTCAGTGAATACACGTAGTTTACAGAGATGCTGTTTTAGAAACCAATGTGAGTTTGGAAAATTGCACAATATAAATCTATTCTAGTAGACCTGAACAATGGAATTATGATCAGTGGAAATGGCCATGACATGGGACCTTTAAAAAAATGTACATAAACATCCAAGTAGATCAAGTTGGTGGCAAAGTCCATAGGGACTTGGCTTGGCAACTGGAAGGTCACCAGTTCAAGTCCCGGCAAGACCAAGTGCTACCGAGGTGTCCCTGAGCAAGGCACCGTTCCCTACACTGCTCCCCGGGCGCCTTTCATAATGGCAGCCACTGCTCCTAACAGTAGGATGGGTCAAATGCAGAGAAAACATTTTGTTACACTATACTATGTACTATGTAATGACAATAAAAAGTCAAAGCACCGCTCCAATGGTACGACTTATTTTGTCTACGTCATAAATAAACAACCAAAGTTAACCTTGTAATTCATCTCCTTTAAAGTGTGTCTCTTTTATTCTGCCCTCTGCTACTGAATACCTCTAAAGTAAAAGTATACATTGAATACATCTAATAATATCATCAACATGTTGTGAAGGAGTTTTTTGTTCCATTTTCATTACGCAACTGTTTCCTCCTGCGGTTTTAAAATACTCTACTGGTCACGACCGACAACCGCAGAAATAAGGAAGAGCATGCACAGCGGATAAAGACTATAAAACGCAGAGTAGGCAAAAAAGATAAGCCTTAAAATGCAGGGTCGAGTGGCAGCAGCAGCGTCGTTCTTTCAAAGGCCTTGTGAAGCTCACAAAGGGAAACTCATCCATGACTGAATTCTTCTGCATTCCTTAAGAGCCGATGGCAATGGCCTCCATTCAACAAGGATTGCTGTTCAGTCGGCACATTTTTTATTTCTCTGAAAACACTTCAGAGGCCAAAGAACTCCCTCTTTAAAGCACAAGAGAGCTGTTCACATAAATTACCCCTGCTGGCCGCACTGACGGAGACTCGGGGCCAGGCTTCAACTTGAGTTTAGTTTCAAGGCGGGATGAAAGAAAGGCTCACACAAGAGCATTTAGAAAAGTTTCATTTCTTGGGTTTTTGCAGGGATTTTATAAAAACGCTAACTCAGGGTATATGCAGGAATCCTGAAGCCAAATGTAATCCCTTTTAAGACCTTCTTTAAGACCCTTTCCATACATTTTAAGACCTCATCGCCACTTGGAGTTCTAACTGGTTACCTTGGCGACACACTTTACCTCACACATTGACTATATACAGTATTGATTGTCCTTCCTCCTTATCTTCCAACCATTTGGACGCAGACTTGCATTTCCCCATAACGATGTTGTTTAACAACCGGCGTAAACGGAGCTTCGCGAGATATCAAGCAGTGAGCGTGTGATGTCCTGTTCAGATGACGTCAAATCCAACGGGATGCCATAAATAAACTACACAGAATCACACTACACACCTACGCAATGATTACATTCAGGCAGACTGTAGAATACAACCTCTTTGGACCATTGATATACTTATTGAAAACAAGCTAGAAAATGTAATACCTTGGGAAATGTCGTTTAATACTTTTAATAGTCTTCATTTTCACTAAATTGATTTATCAACTTTTAATACTTTTTAAGACCCCGCGGACCCCCTGTAGCTTTTATTTGCTGTGTCATAATTAGGCGTTTCTTTTCAAGTAAAGCTTATAGTTAGGGCTGGCTCCGGCTCACCTTGAACCAGCCCCTAGTTATCCCGCTGTAGGCTTTGATGAATATGACTTTTATAGCTTTCATATTTCACGTCTCATCTCCTGATAGTCTTTCTCTCTATCTGTAAGCAGCACTCATGTCTAAAAGAAAAATCATTCAATTGCATGTAAAGGCCCCTAAGACAAATGTGTTATTAGTGATATTAGGCTATGCAAATACAATTTGACAGATTGACATCAGGACTGGTTGATTATACGCCAGTTATGTTTTTAGTATCTGAGGGCAGGCTTTTTGGAAGGAGTTTGTAAAAGTGAATTTGAAGTAGCTTACTGTTGTTGTGCTCTCAGAGTGTGTGAATCCACCCCCCCGCTGCCCAGCCTCTTGACTCTCTCCACCTCTCTCTCCAGCTCGTCTCTGTGTTTCTTCTTCAAAGCCTCCATCACTGAAACACACAAGGAAGACGTTACTACAAATTAAAAAATAAACTCTGTGGCGAACACACATTTATGATGATAGTACATGTCCTACACAATCAGCAGAAACAACCCAAGGCCACAAGATCAACCCATTCCTTCCTACTCAAAGCTAAACCGTGAACTCTATTTGACCCTTGACTGACACTTCTTTGAAATCAGACTTTTCTTTTTGCCTTTTACTAAATCACATAACTCATCAAATCTTACAATGCGCTAACCAACTTGTATTCTTGTATTTTAAACCTGACTTCTTCTATTTAAACTTGTTTTGATTCTCCTGAATGTGTTTCTTTTACACCATGTCTTAAGGCTTTTAATAGTTTTTGTAACACACTTTGAATTGCATTGTTTTGAAATAGCTTGCCTTACAACCCATTTCCGACAAATGTACCATATGACCAAAAGGTAATGGCTCTGTAGGATCAAGAAGCATTTTGACTTTCCCTCATATTTTGTAAGTGAGCTCAAAGTTCCCTACAGATCTTCCCAGGAGTGTTTCAGTGTTCTGACCAGATTCAGAGCTGTGTCTCCGACCGACAGGTGTGTTCAACTCATCAAATCTTACACTGCAATAACAACTTTTATTCTTGTATTTTATACTTTACGTGTTTTATTTTGTGTTGTAGAGACTCTTTATTATTATTTTTTTAAAGCACTTCAAATTGCCTTGTTGTTGAAATGTGCTTCATAAATAAACCCTGCCTTGAAGGTTTTACATAAATACATAAATAAATAAATGTATGTCGCGTAAATGTAAAAATATATGAAAGATATAATATAATAACGTGTGTTCTGTTTTATTTTCGACTTTTATTTATTTATTTATACATTGGTGTATTTATTTCCATATTTATTTATGAATTTATTTATTCTTTTATTTATTTATTTGTGTATTCATTTAAACATTTATTTATTTCTGCATTTATTCCTGTATTTATTTATTTATTTATTTACATATTTCTTCATACATTTATTTACACATTTATTTATTTATACTTAAGTCATGTTCCGTCCTCCATACCCATTTCTGACAAACGTATCATATGAACTTAACTTAAAGGCTCAGTACAAATAAGATATATTTAGTAAGTGAGCTCAAAGTATCCTCTCAGTGTCCTGACCTCGCGCTGTGTCTCTGGTCTCCTCCGTCAGCAGCCTCTCCTTCTCGCTCTCCAGCTGCTTCACCTGCCTCTCGTGTTGCCTCTGGAGCTCCTCCAGAGCCTGGTGGTGAGCCTTGTCCATGGCCAACAGGCTGCGCCCGCACGGAGCCTCCGGACCACAGCCCCCCCTCACACCTGCTCCTCTTCCTCCCAATCTTCCTCCCAATCTTCCTCCTCCTCCTCCTCCCTGTAGTTGCTGTAGCTGCTGCCTCAGTGACGCCACCTGAGAGAAACACAGAGACGGAGGTAAAGCCCACTGAGCGACGGGGGTAATATGTGATCAGCATGATTACATGAGATTGTGGTGTTGGCAGTGGGATGCCTGAGAGAGGATTAGCATGTGAATTAGGGCTGTAATCTACATTTTATGGGAATCACATTTTGGACTAGTGCAATACTCCATCTTTACAATCTAATAATGTATTCATATCTCACGTTTCTGCAGATGAGTACTTTTCATTTTTGATACTTTGACTACATTTTGTGTACACTTATGTTCATTTACTTAAGTACGTTAGGGCTGCTCAATTAATCGTATTTTAATCGCAATTACGATTATGGCTTGCAACGATTACGAAAACAACGTAATCGAAATATAACGATTATTTTTTAATTATTATTCGTAATTTTTTTTTTTTTATATATATATTTTTTTATTGGTTTTTCAGTTGAGTTATACTTGAAGCTCAGGGTAATCAACTGTTAAAAACATACTGTTCACATTGTTTTTATCCAATAAATTGATGTTTCCAAAATAAATCGTTTTTAATAATTGTGATTTCAATTATTGACCCAAATAATCGAGATTATGATTTTTGCCATAATCGAGCAGCCCTAGTTTCTAGCAAAACATTTTTAAGAGATGACATGAGCAGCCCTGCCATGGTGGCCAAAACATTTTTATTTGGTCTTAAATTGTAGTTCAACATTTATTTCCTGTTACTTCTGGACCATGACGGTGGGCCAACCTTTAATGTTTAACTGAGTGGAATATGTTTTACCAAAATGTTGGCTATATGTTAAGGAGTTTTCAGGTTGTGACAGTGCACTGCAACATGTTTGTTGATCTTGTTTATTGGTATTTATTATTTTGATATTATTTATTTAAATGTAGATATGAATGTATAATTTATTTTATTTTGTATTGGTTTTTCAGTTGATTACCCTGAACGTATAATTCAACAGTTAAAAAGTTCAAATTATTATTTGTATTTGTTTTAAAATACAATCAATGGATGTTTTCAAAGTCAATGAATAATCGCATTTAATAATTGCAATTACAATTATTGACCCAAATAATCGAGATTATGATTTTTGCCATAATCGAGCAGCCCTAAAGTACGTTTTTGAATCTTTTTGAATGTAGGACTTTTACTTGCCATCAATTATTTGAACCTTCACATGTGTGCTTTTCCCACAGTGACAATGTCCTTAGAGATAAATGCATATTATTCAGTGTAGTTTAAAAAAATATAGAAAAGGCTGCATGATCTAAAGCGATTAAATAGCCCGGCAACACGTACTACTTACAACATGTTCTAAATTGCAGTGTCAGTCAAAGTAATCGCAATAAGTTATTTGTCAAAATCGTACAGCCGTAAAATAAAGACAGGAGATGCTTTTCAATGCTTAACTGACAGTAGGAATATTTCTTTCATACTCACTAACTTTTAAACTTGATCGACTTAATTAACATGTAATCTTCTTTTCCATTGTCCCACTGCCAACACGCACTCCACACCTGATCACTGGCAGAACCACTTTGCACCTCAGAGTCTTTCTATGCACGAACTAATGACGAGGAGGTTTTGTGTTGTGTTGTGTTGGTGCTCAAAGTTCAAATCATTTAAACTTTGACCCCAATCCCTGCTGACCTTTCAAAGCCTGATTAGACTCAAGCTGCAGAGGAAGCTTGAACACAAAGGCAGCCTTCAGCTCTCATTAAAGGGTAATAATAGCTTAATTAAAGAATGAATGCACATCAATTGTCTTTGGCATGAACGTAACATCTCTTGTTTATAAAGTAAATAGTTCTTCGCCCGGTGTCACGTGTAGAGAGACTTCAAACAGGTTCAAATCAAAGCTGCACATCACAACACACAGAGAAGAACAGAGGAGATCCAGCAGTGTTTCCCAAGTACAGGTAGCATATGTGAAAATATCTGAATAAAGTATTGTGGAGCTACACACCTAATTAAATATCCTAGTTTGATCCATATTCTCTTAAAAAACATGATAATTGTAATTATTTCTTAGTATATTTTCCACAGTAACATCAAGAATCATATCGCAGTTACAATATCAGTCAAAATAATAGGTTTTTTTTCAAAACGTCATCACATTCACTGTAATCCAGACTAATCTTACTTTTTTGTTTTTTTCTGCATATTTTAGATGGAAAACACTGAGGAAGAGCAGGTCAGAAAAGACAGTGGCTCAAGTGTTAACAGGCGGAAAGAGGAAATGTTAACTTCATCCGAACCGATGAGTTAATTTGCATTTTACTTATAAATGTGCAAATTGGAAAGAAATCATCTCCACGCACTACCTCCCTCTGCAGCGCCTCATTGGCTGACTGGCTGGAAGGCCGTGTTCCCATTGGTGGCAAGGAGCTCATCTCCTTCAGCGGCAAGCGTTCGAACTCGGCCCACTTTTTCTCGACGTCATCCTCGGTGCGTAGCCTCTGATTGGATCCCGCGCCGGTGCCCTTCCTGGACAGCACGGCCTCCCATTGGCTGCTGGTGTTCCTCTCCTCTTGCCATTGGCTGTGCTCCCGGCCCTGACCCTCGGCTGCCTCTCTCTGCCCGGCGGGGACGGGAACCGGAGAGAGCTCCACGTAGTCGAACCTGCGGTGAGTGGGAGGAGCCGGGGGCGGGGCTTCTGAGGGAGGATCGGCGTGACGGGACAACGGGCGGCGGGACGACTGCAGGAAGCGGGAATGAGAGTTCTCCTTATCACTGCTGCCGTCTGGTAATCTGGAGAAGAAGAAATACAAACCATAAATCAAGACAAATGGATGAATCAAAACATTATTTCTTATTTTTCTGACCTCATGAATCCTAAGAATTGGTGCAGGATTGAGTCCTAAATTAGTTAGCATTCAAGCATTAGTGCTAAACTCAGAGCCACATTTAATCTTCAACGTGCGATTGCCACAGATCTTATTTTCTGCAATATTCCAAAATTCCCAAAAATCCATCATCACTGCACCACTCTTTTTATATGAAATAAAGAAGTAATCCATCACTTAGTCACCAAGCTTAGTGTAATACGTGGACAGCACACAAAGCCTCAACATGAACCCTGGAGGCGCAGCTGGCCATGAGTCAGTGCTCCTGGTGGATTCATGAAACTTTCATTCATCTCTAACAGACAAAGTATACAGAGAATTCTACTCTAAGGGTCAAAGCTGTTAGTACATGTGAGTAACAGAGCCTCTTATCTGATTTAGCCCAGCCTGAGCTGCAGCTAGTGAGCGATGCAGGAAGGCTGAGGCAAAGAAATATGCTGCTTTATTACGGCAGGAAGTTGCAACATACAATAACTTTTGGTATTTCAAATGCTTGAGATGTTAAAACCAATCCATGACAGTTATACATTTTGACTGACACTTTCTCTCTATGATTACACTACAAAAGCTCTTCATTGTTCTCATACTGCCTGTGCTGCAGCACCTCTTTTCACCCTCTGTCTGAAACCAGAGCCCAGTCTGCTCTGATTGGTTGGCTGGGCGGGTCTGTTGTGATTGGTCAACCGCTTAGAGATGTCCCGCCCCTTAGTCTATCACCTACAATGTGTCGGAGCGCTAGCCAATAGAAGTGTGAGTGTTACATAGTGATGTCACTATGTTCAGGAATTAAACAAAGGAGTCCAATGGAGGCGTTTCAGGCAGGGGGAAATTAGACATTTGGGATTTTAGCCTTTGTAGACCATTTGCATGCACAAAAAACCCAAGAGGACACCACCAAAAAGCATGATAGGGCCTTTTATTCATAAGGCGCTTTCACACCAAGTACTTTGCCGTACTTAGTCCCCAGTACTTAGTTCATCAGAACTCTTTAGTTCTGATGAACTAAGTAATGATCGCGTTCACACCGGAATAAGTCCCTGGGGAAGGGTTAGGCAAATGAAGCCGCTGCCGTTACTTCTTCTTCTTCTGCTTTGGGTTTACTGGCAGGCCGAAAACAACTTCACGGCGTATACTGCCACCCGAAGTCCCCGGCCAGAAGTCCCCGGAGTTGGGGACTGGCTTCAGTAGAAGCTGCTGGGACTCCCGAGTAAATCGCCAGAACGCCGACACCTCCTCATCTCCACCGCTCCCATGTTTTATTTTGTGTTGCCATAAGTTAGTCTCTCTCCGTTTCTGCGCTGGGCTAATGCTAATGCTAATAATGCTAATGCGAGGAAAATAAAATGGCGGCTTCACAAAAGTTTTTGGGAGTTTTACGGGGCGTGGTTTTTTGCAATCCGCCCAGCCAATCAGACATAGGAAACTTTTTTCGCCTCTCTAGCAGGCACTAAAAAGGGGTTGGAAAGGTTCTCATGAACTAAATTCTAGTTCCGGCTTTTTTTTGGTGTGAACGCAAAATTTCAAGAACTATATCGGAACTATACTGGGAAAAGTACTCCAGTGTGAAAGCGCCTATATTTACTGTGTTTATTTTTATTTTTAACTCGTGTGCAATGTCTTTTTTTCAACATTTGAGGTAATCTATATTTAAATAAAACCCATAATGATTAAACAGGTATTTACTGTGTGAGGTCTGGAGAGCTGCTGGGTCTTATACACTTCTTTAAAACCTCGATCCAATTCCTCCTGATCCCCGCCGTCATGGCCGACAGAGTGTGAGCGGAAGAGTGCCTCGTCTGAGGAACAAAAGAGACAAAGAGAAACAGGTTCAGGAGAAACAAAGAAGTGACAGAACTGGGATGAGAGGGAGAGGATACAGAGAGGAAGAAAGGAGCAGGAGATGTGAGTCATGATAATAAAATAACAAATAAATGCAGGAGAGGAAATGGAGAGCGGGTGTGGTGATAGGAAGACAAAAAGGTGTGAATATAGACAAATAAATCGGTGTATGAGAGGGGTTAAGCTGTAACGGAGACACTCACCTGTACCTGAAACCCATAGTTCTTCTCCACGTCAAACTCACACACTTTCACACACGATTTGAGGTCAATCTCCCCGTCCAGCTCATCTTTCTGTACAGAGGACACAGCAAGGCACGTTTATTTATAAAGCATATTTAAGCTGAAAGGCAATTAAAAGAGTGTTACAAAGCAATTAAGATATAGTGCAACAGAAACACATTTAAAAAAGTCAAGAAAGTACAAATTGAAACATATATATAATTCTATATATATAAGTTACAGTGCAGTGTGAGATTTCTGTGGAGCATGATGGCTAAACGCTGCTTCTCTTAACACTTTCACTCAACATGCTGTTGCGCTTCAAGTGGTCATCAAAGTGTTCATAATAAACATTCAAACAAACCTCCTCTGCACTCGAGTCTCTGTAGTACTTCAGCCCAGCGTCAGTCAGAACAAACCAATGCTTCTTCCACTAAAGAAAGAAGATATCAATTAATCCAAGAATAAAATCAGATTTGAGAATGAACTTTTGCACGATAACGCAAATAATAAAGCACTATTACTACTTGATTATCAGAGTAAGACAAATTGGCATTATGGCCGAACCATTTATTAAAGTTTTATAAGTCGCAATATGTGTTTTTTTTTGTGACTATTGATTGACCTAGTTCCTCCATACGTGTACTTTGTTAAGCCCCCGTCACATTGACTGTCCCGACATTGACACCAGATGGACACACGAATATGGAATTGTGAATTTCGCACGAAGATGGCCCCGAACTTGGTCAACAGCCAAGCAACAGCCGAAGCCTACAGAAGGCCACACGATGGCACCCGAACCACACACTCCGTCATGTTGTTTCCATGGCAACAACAACTTCCTGTCAACAGCGTAAACTCACCCTCGATGTCATCGTACTATAATACGATGGCTACACGACGGCATTGCGAGGGCTTCACGTGGTCGTGTTGCCTTCCTAAGACATCGGCAGCTTCTTGTTTCCTTCGTATTGTCTTCGTGAGGCGAAAAATGCCCGATGGAACCGATGATCACACGATTTGACAAGATGCCCTCAAGAGTGCCTTACGAAGGGCAAAATTGACACGAAAATGAANAGTTTGAAAAATACTGGAGAATATAGGACACCAGCAGCGTTATACAAGTCGGGGGGAGGAGGGGGGGGGGATTGAAAAGCAGAGAGATGTTGATGTAGTGTGTCAGGGGTCGGCTTTGTTATGGGTATGGATTTGAGAGGGCTGATGCACATTAATAACATGTTTTATCCACTTGTACAGTAGAAGCACAGTCACATAATGGAGCAGCTCAAGTGTTTATATCAGGTTTTGGATCCAACATCGTAACAGTTTTTCTTTTTGCAATGGGTTGTTATTCCGGGGTGCAACTAAGTAATGATTATATCATCACTTAGACCGGAAGAGCAGACTTACAGCTTTGGGAGGAAAGTCAATGTTATTCAGGATGTTTTTGCATGGTGTAGTTTCATTGTTTCTGGGAGCTAATGAAGAGGAAATCTATAGGAAACAGCAACTCTATTGCTATTTCTTCTAAACATTAACTCATGTCCCCAGCTCTCTGCTTTTACCACCCAGCTTTAAAAGCACTACATTCCTTTTGGCTGCCTGCCCTCTTCTGTCATTCCCTCTATCTTCCTCATACACCCATCCTCCCTCCTTCTGACCTCCTCTTGCTATGCCCATTTTCCCCCTTTCATTCAACTCTCGAATGTATTTATCACGTTCCAGTGTTACTATTCTCTTCTGTCCCATTCACCAACTTCCATCTCTGTCTCCTCACATGCAGAATGCAGTGTATGCACAGATACACAAACATAACCAACCATGATATGAAGGGTTATATTTCACACCTTATCAGATTTTGATACCACAACAAACAGTAATCTGTAGCTACTGCATAAAAACAATGACATGCCCGGCTGCCTCTTATCAGGTGTTTACAGTGCCAGTAAACTTAAATCATTGCCACCATCCACCTTCACAAACATCATCAGCCATTAAAACTCATTGCTTTTTCAAACAGTGTGAAGGTGCCAAAAAGGGAGTTGATGAGTTTCGATGACAGAACAGCGCCCACTGCAGCTGGCTGGGATGCACTGACTTCTTTAGGGTCTTCCTAATATGTTGGCACTCGAAGGTTGTCTGACGTTATATTCTAGGGATGTTATGTACCTATTAGGGGTGTAACGGTATACGTATTTGTACCGAAAATATTCGGTATGGGCCCTTCGGTTCGGTACACGTGTGTACGAAATGTACCGAACTAATATAACGTTAAACGTAAAAGATTGAGAACACTCAGTCTCAGGTGCTGTGTAATTTGCTCACATTGGGTTCAACGCGTCATAGAGCAACCAAGTCATGCGTTCACATTTAGTCAGTAATTTGAGGAACTGGCGAAATGGCGAACGCAGATAAAGTTGAGCTCCTCCATCATTGAAGTCTCCGGTTTGGGAAAATTTTGGTTTTGCAATTATGTACAAGGATGACGGACAAAGACAGGTGGACCAAATCAAAGCTGTTTGTCAGCATTGTTCAACTAAAATTGGTAAACGCGGCTGGCAATACATCAAACTTGCACACTCATTTGAAAAGGCATCACCCGAACGTGAATATCACCGGTACCAAAAGAAAAATGACTAAAGTGCAAACCCAACTCCCGCTAGCATTTAAGCCTCCACCACTCGCAAAATGTTCAGACCGAGGCAAAGCTATTACAAACGGCAAATATCCTTATGTTGCCATGTTAGCAAAGCACTACCTGGCTGTATCTGCTACCTCTGTCCCTAGCGAGTGGGTGTTCTCCAGAGCAGGAGACATTGTTAGTGCCAGCAGATCTGCCCTTTCGGCAAGCAATGTGGACAAGTTAATTGTTCTTAAAAAAAAACATGAAAATACAATGACAAGCAAGTCCTAATGTCAAGCTGGCTGCTTAGGTGAGTACTAGTACTAGTACAGTACAGTTCAAATACAGATTATTTCAGTTCATTGAAATGCTGCACCTTAATGTTTATTTTTATATTTTGTATTTATTTGAGTGAATATTCACAGTTTAATAATAATTAAAAACCCAAAACAAATATTTGATGTTTTGTGAGTACTAGTTCAGTAAAGTTCAAATACGGATTATTTCAGTTCATCGAAATGCTGTACCTTAATGTTAATTTTATTATATTTTGTATTTATTTGAGTGAATACATTATTCACAGTTTAATAATAATTAAAAACCCCAAAAAAATATTTTATTTTTTGTGATCATTTTTTCTGCTGTACCGAAAACGGACCGAACCGTGACCTAAAAACCGAGGTATGTACCGAACCGAAATTTTTGTGAACCGTTACACCCCTATTACCTATCAAGTTGTTGTTTTTTCTGCATTATCGCTGCCTCAAGGGAGTTTTCCTCTTCTTTTAAAAAGCAACCATAAAAATGTGTTGCACGGTGTAGCCTTTGCCTTCATTGCCTAAATAAGAACGATATACCATTGACTGTGTTTTCATCATTCGTACGTCTTTTGAACAGATTTCGCGAGGCTCTGCTCCGGTGAAGCAACGCTCTGTTCATGACAGCAACATGCAAGATAGTCTCACGCTAAACTGGAAAACAAGTGCTCATACATTTGGTAGATAACAAGTCTCATATAGTCTGTCCTGTCGGGGCTCAGCTTCTGCTCTTCCACCCAATCTCAGACCTGAGGATAGTTGGAGAATTGATGGCGGCTGCATTGTATGAGTTGCAGTACATTTATGATTTCCAAGCTACGACACCTAGTGGATGTAAAACAAAGCATTGGATCAGGCTCAATAGAGCTCATAAGCTGATAGTGATCGGGTAAAAAATGCCTTTATCTGTCCAGATACCTATCTTTAAAATCGACATCCTAAGTATTTTCATTATTTGAATCTCTGTGTGGGTGTCATTGCAAAGTGCCCACCTGTCTACATTCCCTCTGTGTGTCAAATAATCATGCGTGGACAGGAATGAGGAGCATCTGAAAGGTTGTCTGTGGAGTCATCTTCCCTTTCCAGTCACACAGGAATGTCACATCCATCTGCCCGTCCGTCTATATTATAAAATACCCAAGATAACATTGGCACGTCCAACTTAAGATTCCACAGAAAGGTGTATTACAGCAGCAGCAATTTTCTTCTAAGTTCAAATATTAGGCTTTGAGTGTGTTTATGATTTAGTGATTCAAGGTTTTACAGCATTTGTTTTAAGATGGCGTAAAGTGCTGAGCACAGTGATAGTAACAGAGAGCGAGACATGATGACAAAGGGGAAGCAAAGGTAGGGAGAAAGCATGCAAGTAAGAGACTGTTGGGGAATTTAGAATGAATGTTGGCATTTCTTCTCCTCTAACGCAACACATCATTATCAATAAAACTGAAAACCTGAGACAAGAGACAGGCTAATACAAAATGGAGACAAAAGGACAAACAGAGAGTGAGAGGGTAAGACGGAGAGGTGTGGAGGGGGCTGATGTTTGTGAAGGGGAACATGAAGTGGCAGCCTGAGTATTCAGTGTCAGGGTTGGGTTGGGTTTCTAGCTTCAGCATTGTCAACACTTTCACTCCTTTCGCCCAAGTCTGCGGCCCACCATGGGCAGGATGGGGTTCACCCTCAGAACAGGAGCCGGCGTCGCCCCGCGTGCCAAAACCACTCCGACTTTACAACACATGGACCCTGCGAACATGACACCGGCGCTCGGCAGAGAACAGCATGCCGGACCAATTCTGTCACGGCCCGGGCCATCTGAAATGAATGTTCTCGCCCCACATCGCTTGATCTCGTTGATCCATCCCCTTACTCCCGCCAGGTTTGGATTCCCCCCCCCCTCACAAACACATTTTGTCACACATGAGTCCTCTAGATCAAAGCCTAATAAATGTACAATGCTTCACTTTTCACTGTGTTTAACTTTTGTAGTCCTACTAAACATGTGTGCATTTGACTGAGAAGAATCAGAAGATCAAAGATGCGGGCAGCATATGAGAGAGAGAGAGAGAGAGAGAGAGCTGGCTGTGAAGATATGAAAAAGAATTCTGAGAGTAATACTTTAGGAGCAAGAACATGTGTGCATGTTAAATGTTGCTGTGGGAAGACGATAGGAGAGTAACAGTGTAAGAGGGGATAGGGTCTGTGGCTGCTAGTGTTTAGGTTCAGCAGCATCTGATGACAGCTAGCTGCTCTTGAATGTGGCTTTGAGCTGCCCACACTGCTGCTGCAGCCTGAATAACCAGAGAGTCAAAAGACTGCAGGAACACCGCATGTTACAGCCTAACGGATAGCTGCCTGGATGGATAAGTTGTTTAGAGTCAGAGGGTGTGTAAATGCCTCACCCTCACTGTGAAGATGGGAGTTCTGCTTCCACTGCCATTAGGGGCTGGTGCTGACTCATCTACTCAATGTTTTAATACACTTCAAATTGAGTTTATAGGGAATTATTTCCACAGGACATTATGACAGGAGAGGTTTAAATTGTCCGACTTCAACAGATTTCCTTGTCAAAGCCGGTAAATAACAGAAACACTGTGATGCAGTCACAATGAACTAGCTGATGATAATCTGAAAATACTTAGGTTGATTTCTTGTTAGACATGTAAGACAATATTATATATATTCAAAACATAAGTCTGTGGAGGCTTTTGAGTATCTAAAAGTTACTCTTGTGGTTGAGTTATTAGTTATCTAATTACTTTTTCGATGAGTATTATGTAAGGATTATTTTTGGTATGTAGTGAGCTTTAGAGCCTGCCTCAAGAGCTGTAGAAATTAGTTGATCGACAAAAAAATCACCAGCCTTATGGACTGACAAAATAAACTTGGACTTGAGATTAATCACCACATTTTTGGCAGATTAATTGATAAAACAATTGTTTTGTGTGTGACGTATACAATCCTACATAATTTCATACTTATTGTACAGTGTAGGGCTGAACGATTAATACATTTTAAATCGAAATCGCATTTTTAATTTTTATTTCTTGTGTGTCAGTCATCCACACCAATCAGAAGTGCTGTGCTCCACATGTACCAGTCATTGTTAACCAATCAAAAGTGGCCCATGATAGATGATCGACAGATTGATCCAATCACCTGCCAAGTATTTTTGAAAGTGCCTGCCCTTTCCAAATGGCTTCCAATGGAGCTTTCCTAGATGGTTTGGTGAAACAAACCATCTGAGTCAGGTTAGTAATGCTCCATCACATGTTTCTATTACAGGGTGAGTCTTAAACTGAAGCTTGACTGTAAAGCAACCCAACGGAAGTTTCATGTAAGTTTAGTTCTTTCACTCGTAGCTCGGGTTGCTAGAGACGGGAGCATGTTGATACGACCTTCCTAGCCGGAGATATGGCCGCGTTTTACAATAAACTTCCGTTGGGTCTCTTAAAAACAAATATCGCAAATCGAATCGCAATATCTGTCAGAAAAATCGCAATTTGATTATTTCCCCAAATCGTGCAGCCCTAGCACAGTGTACTCGATCTTCTCATCTAACTCTTTGCAAGTGTGTTACCAATTATGTTGAACTATTCCTTTAACGGCATCATCCCACATCTCTAAACGTAACATAGCTCTCAGCTCGCTTCATTTTTCTTTGCAAGAGTGTATGAAGGGAAACACTTCAGCGTTCAATACTTGATGGCTTTTTTATTAAGTCTGGATATTTTATGGTCAAGAGGAATGAGTTATATTGGCTAAATGCAGTCTGTTGTTTTAGGGCCCGTGCGGCTACTCGATTAGAGTAGTCATTTTGGTCTACACCTCATTTTGCAGCCCATAAAGACCAAACCTCAGAGAATGTGCATGTGTAAGCGCTGCATGGAATAACAATGACACAAGAATAGAAGCAGTAGTCTGAGGGAGAGAAAAAATGATTGAAAAACAAGAATAGAAAAAAGGATCAAACGACCTTGAGGGAAATATGAGAAGCTTTTGATTATTCCCACAGTTGGGCACTTAGCATACGGAACTCCTTTCCCTTTCTGACTTTCTTACATGCACACACAGCCATTAACACACACATAAACACACACAGTTCGCCGATCATGCTGACCACCCAGCCAGTATCCCCCGGGCCCCACCTCTCACCTCGCTCAGGGGCGCTAGAGCTGAGAAAAACTACACCATTAACTTCCTCCCCTCCCCGCCTCCTCCTCCCTCCCTACCTAGTTCCTCGCTCAGTGCTCCCATTCATGTTGTAACAACTCGTAAAGGAAGGAGACTTTGACCCCTCAGTAAAATGTTCCCAATCTTTCTCGTTCATCTGTTGTGTGCAGGAGGGTTGGATTCAGACTCGCTCTCCTGGAGGTGACGGCTGTGTACTGACTTCCTGTTCAAAGTTCCATTGTAAATGTCCAAGCTGCTAAAAGTGGTTTAAGTAAAATAAACTACCGACTTCATAATGTTGCAAAGGCTAAAGTCGTATTTTAGATGCCATCATCCTTGTCAAGCAAAGTAAACCACCCACAAAGTTGTTCATCGTACTGATATGCTAAAAAGTAGGGTACGATAAAACATCACATTCCTTACAAATAAAAATGATCCTGTGAAAATCATTACTCTAAAATAATTTTAATTTATTGTCTGTCAGTCATCCACACCAATCAGAAGTGCTGTGCTCCACATGTACCAGCCATTGTTAACCAATCAGAAGTGGCCCATGATAGAAGGTGATAGACAGATTGATCCAATCACCTGCCAAGTATTTTTGAAAGTGCCTGCCCTTTCCAAATGGCTTCCAATGGAGCTTTCCTAGATGGTTTGGTGAAACAAACCATCTGAGTCAGGTTAGTAATGTTCTACATCTATTACAGGGTGAGTCTTAAACTGAAGCTTGACTTTAAAGCAACCCAACGGAAGTTTCATGTAAGTTTAGTTCTTTCACTCGTAGCTCGGGCAGCGGGGGTGCTAGAGATGGGGGGTACTGATATGCTAAAAAGTAGGGTACGATAAAACATCACATTCCTTACAAATACAAATTATCCTGTGAAAATCATCACTCTAAAATAACTGTGTGAATGACTAATTGTTTTTACAACAGTTTAATTATTTGTGTGCAAATATATGCAATCGACAGAATGGCATGTTGAGTCCAAAATGTGCTTTTCTAATGTAAGGACATTCAATGTAAGGACATTTATCAACATGCTTTTTGTGTAAATCCTAGCCCGCCGTATTACAGCACACTCATTCCAGATTTTATGTTTTGACAAGCTGGTTTGGCACAATGTTAAAGAATAAGTCATATTTTCGGTGTAATATATCATAATTACTTTCTTCTCTGACCAATATATTGTTACAGGATACAGGATCGTACAATTGAGTCTGTTGCTGTACTTTTACTCTCAAATACCTCTTTGACCTTCCAACTGGATTTTTTTTCATTTGATGTATCGGATGAGGCAGTGTGTTTTAAGTTTGTCATTGTGGTGTGAGGATGGGATGAGATTTCATTCTTCAGCGTACAGTGAACGAAGTTCCAAACCCCAAAGTGCCTGCTATCAGCTGCATGTAAAAGGAGAATATTTGATGAAGCAGATCCAACTTCAGCCACAACCCTGCATCACAATTCTCCTTATTTTAAATTATGATGTACAGTTAGAGTGAAAGGGAGAACTACCCAACCAGGGTGGGAATATAAATAAATATATACACACAAATAAGGGTCATAACAAAAACATCAGCCCAATTAGTTAAAATACTTATGGTCAAATAAAAGATAGATAATCTGGGAAATGAGGCCTGTACTATCTCGTTTTAGTATCCAAATGTGAAACCAAGTATTTCTCTGAATTTTCACCGCGGCCCCATTTTTTCATTGGTAAATATAAATCAACAACAGCAGTAAATCACAAAACAGACTATTTTATAGACCTGTGAATGATCAACTTGTGTATGTTGTGTTGATCTGTGCACAGCGCACGCAGATATAGATTCAATTGTGTTTTAAATACAGAGGGTTCGGAAATAGCTTTTTCTTTTGGAATTTGATGACTGGTGGTTATTACAATTTTCCACTCTTAAAAAAGGAAATGTTCACACTAACCTGTATTTAAAGGGGACCTATCATGCAAAATGCACTTTTTAATGTCCTTTATGCATAAATATGCGTCCCCGGTGTGTCGGGGAACTCACGCAACGTCAGAAAATAAAACCCTCTCTCTTTTCTTCCGTACCCAAATCTCTAAAAACGGGAGTACAACGGAGCTGATCCAGATTTGAGTCCGATATGACGTAATATCGGAAATGTGGACCCACGGCACTATCAAAAAGTTGCTATCAGAAACAATGCCCGACTGTTTTGGACATAACATGGTCGGTGTTTACATTAGCATCGCTAACACTCAGAGCTAAGCTGTACTGCACAGAGCATGTGTGTGAAGAAGCAGGAAATAAAAAGGAACTCACCTTGTGGTAAAACCGGCAAGAGAGAAAGCCTTTNGTGTGCCTTGGCAGTCTCAGGTGTGAAGAAGCAGGAAATAAAAAGGAACTCACCTTGTGGTAAAACCGGCAAGAGAGAAAGCCTTTAAGCTCCATACTGTTTCAGAGATAATCCTTGATAATCCATGATATGGCGTTTCATCATGGCAGCATTTAGTTTAGACAGTAGCTGCCGGGTCCCGCATGAGCTCAACCCCCTCCTTTTTTATTTTGTTTTTAAAAAAAGTTAAAAGGTCCCATGTCATGGCC